GTCTACGGCGCCGTGAATCGATCTTTGGCGGCGCAGCCTGCCGCCGGGCGTGCAGCAGCAATCCTGGCTGGCGCGAGAGCGCGGTGCGGAGGCCTCTCGGTGACCTCGGCCCTGATCCCGCCCTGCCGCTGCACCGACGGCGGCTGGGCCGTCTCGCGCGGCTCGTCACCCGCGCGCGCCGCTCTCGCCGCGCCGCCGGGCGACCGCCGGGATCCCCGCGCGCGCCTCGGGGCTCTCCGCAGCTAACCCGTTAGGCGTCGCCGCCGGCAGCTGGGCTGCGGCCTATGCGTCTCGTTCGTTGCACTTGTGCGCCGCGCCGGTTCGGCGACAGGTGTGCGCCGCGCCCGCCCCGGCCCGGCCCGGCCCCGGCCCGGCCCGGCCCGGCGGTCAATCGTGCGCCGTCGCCGCGCTCTGTTTGCACCCGCCGGCGCCGTCTGCGCCAGCCGCGCGACCGATAGGTACACACCGTCGCGGCGGGGCCTGTTTGTCCGGCCGTGTGCTGTATGTGTGTGTGTGTGTGTATGTGTGTGTGTGTGTGTGTGTGGTGTGCGTGTGACGGCGTCCGGCCGAGTGGACGGTCGGCGCGTGCGGTGTTTACTGTGCGCGCGACTTGTGCGTGTTGTGCGGTTGTGTGCGTGATGCTTGTTGCATGTGTTCCGGTGCGTCGTGTGTCGTGTGGCATGACAGTGTTTTGTGTGGTGTACGGACTCCAGCGTGTTGTGTTCTGTTTGTGGCGCGCTGCGTGTTGCTGTTGGCATTGCTCCTGTGCGTGCGTGTGTGTGCGTGTGTGGGGTCTGTAGGTTGTGCAGGCCTCCGGCGCTACATTTGTCGGCGCTGGCGTCGTCTGCTGTGATGGTTACCCGTGTCGTTAATTTGCGCATGTGCTGTGTTATCGTATACACGTGCGCCGCAAACGCACGGCACTAGGCGCCTCTGACGGCGTGCGTGTGCCGCCTCTCGCCGCAGGGTGAAATGCTTGAATGAAAAGCGGCGCCGGGAGCTGGAAAATGCGTACATCAGCGAGCTGGCTAACTTGATCTCCACCACGGATATGGCCCAGAATGGCAAGAAGGACAAGTGCGTAATTCTACAGGAGACTGTCAATCAGGTGGGTGCCGCGCGGCGGCCGCCGCTGCCCGGACCTGGCGCCGCTGGCGAGGCCCCCTCGCCTCGCGCCGCGCCGCGTGCTTCTCTCCCAGTGGCGGCCATTCGCGGCTGTTTGCCGGGCCGTGGTGTGGGCGCTGGTTTATTGCGGGCGGGGACGCCGGCCGGCCGCGGGCCGAGCACGGGCGGCCGAGGGGCGGCGGGAGGGCGGCGCTCCCAGCGGGCCGCCGCCGCCACCGCCTCGTCTGAAGGGCCCGGGCCCGCCGCGCGAGTGCAGTTTGGGCTGCGGCCGGCCGGCTGCCGCCGACGGCGCACTGATGGAGGCGGCGGCGGCCGGCTGCAGCCGCGGCCGGGCCGGGTCGAGCCGAGCCGCACGTCACTCTGTCACCCTGTCATCGGCCTGCCTGTGGTGCCCGTCGGCCGCCACGGTGGGCAGCGCCCTGCTGGACAGCCGCCAGCTCCACACGGGGTGGGCCGGTCGAACGGTCCCGCCAGCTCAGGCTGTGGTCATTTCTTTTGGGGCTCACTGCTCACGAATGCTTCCTCCGGCGTCCAGTCCAATGGTGAAGTGCTGATTGCCTTCAGTTGCCGGTTTTGCGTACGTGTCATCGCCTGGCACGGTATGAGCCGAATATTTTTCGCCGGCTTTAATTGCTTGCGTACTGTTCGATGCCTGGCTCGTCGTTAAATGCCACCAGAGGTTGCCAACTGCACAGCACCCGTTGACATTTGCTCACGCATGAGCGATTGGCTGTGCGCCTCTGCGCACGGCTGGTTGAAAATGGCTTGCGGTGGCCCGCTGCCCAGTCGCGCGCCTGGTCAGGCAGCTGGTCCTACGCTAGATGAGCTGTTGAATTGCTAACAGGTAAATACTGAGGCTGTTTATCATCGGCCAACGCTCCGATGCGCGAGACATGCTGATGCATCGTGCTGGCCGGCCAGATGGCCCAGCTGGTCCGAACCGTATAAAATCAAACACAAACTGACGCCGCGCTCAGCCACAGGAATCGACCACTTTCATGTCGTCAGTGAACGGTGAATGTAAAAGGATATCCTCAAAGCTGTATTTCCACACCCGTTAGGCAATCCACAAGCCCTGTCTGGAATGCGCTGATAGACGTGGGCAGTGGAGGGTGGGCTCTGATTGAAAAACTCGTGCATGTCGTACGGTAACACTTGTTTTCCGCCCTCGGCTGTTCTTGGAACAGCGCCGGCTCGTTAGGCATTGCATCACGCAGGCTGTTCACAAGGACCGGGTCTATTGTCCCAGCCGTGCCCTTTTATTGCATACGACAATGAGCAAACAGCGTGAGCCGACCCGAGTAAACAAGAAGGCCGCCGCCGTACCCTCGTGTGGTTGGATCAGCAGGGCTGCGACTGGAGGCTTTTGCGACACTCCGTGCATCTGTGGGCCGCCGCTTGCATCTGTTTCTTGAATGCATATGTGCAGAATCCGTCGGCGCGGTTTTTTCTGACGCAGCGCGTCCGGCACCCGCAGAAACGAGCGGCGGGATGACTGGACCGAATGGTGGCACGCCAATGTAGCTGATGCTCGCCGTGCGGGCTTGTGCTTGATTCCTTTTGGGGAAGACCGATTCCAAATGCAAACCAAAGAGAATGGATGGGAATTAGGAATATGATTCAAAGCGGCTGTTGGAAATCGGATATGAATCCAAATCGGGCTCCAACACAGGTAACATTGTCGAGCTGGATTCCGAATCCCAGGCAGGTCTCTTTGTTGAAGAAGAAAGCAAACATTCAGAAATACCTGAGTTTGTGTACATACATCTGTGAAAAAGCCATCAGGGGTGGTGTTTCAAACCGCTAAAACTAGTTTCCTCACTTTTTGGTTCCACCGTCTAAGACTGGCACTGACAGCCCGGGACTCGATGCGATATCCCTCTTTGTACACATCACTAGACTGTAGTCGTAATGTTTCATGCTCGAGTCAGCACGCCAGAAACGTGCTTTGTTACGACAGGATGATCAAGTTATTGGCACATTTGTTCAAATTGGTAGGCCAATTGTCGGCATCGGGGTTTAACGACGCGTTCAACAGCAAAGGCGATTGAGCGTCAGAAATCCTCACGCCGATTTCTGCGAGGAGGACGGAGCTCTCGCCTGTCTCGAATCCGTCACCGCACTGCTGCTGTTGTGAACGCTCTCCGAACGAACCTGCGGCGTCCCTTCATTTGCCAATGGGTGTCTGAGGTTGTACCCTAGTACTGCTGACCCTCGCCTGCAGTATGTATGAGTGTTTTTGTTGCGACTTTTGTTATGATATGTTGCTCCCTCATCTGCGTGGGTGCATTCGGCTGCGGCTAACACAAATATCTGACACCGTGCTAATAAGCTGAAGGATAATGAGTGCGGCCAAATCTGCTTCATGCAGTTTTTAACAGAACGTGACGCACGTCGTCTCACCCCTTTTATGGAGCAACGGCAACTACATTGGCCATGTTAACACTCAGGGGCCGTGGCTCGTAGGTACTGGGTTTTGCTCCAAGTGTTTTATAAAACGTGATTCAAAGTTGTAGTGTAAAATCATGTAGGTGATTGTAAATAATTGCTGCCTCTGTGACTTGCACATGATGTCTGAAGTAAGACCGACCAGGCCCGGAGGGCACGCAGTGGTACAGAAGTCGCACTGGGCATGTCTCAATGTCTCGTGTCCCTCATGTCTCAAATATCAGATCAGAGGTGTAAGGGCGATGGGTGAGAAGTCTCTTGGATGGTGTACAAATGCATTGGTTCTAGTTTGGTCTCGCGCTGGAACGAAAAATAGTTGTTTGACCTCCCCTGCACCGGATGCTGGATTTGGTTTTCGCTTTTCGCCAGGTTCATAAAGCATGCGCTCTAGACTACACCTTTTGTCACCTGGTTGCCAAGCATCAGCTAAGCAATTCGATTAATCACTTTGCCACCAATTGAGTGGCGCAGACAGGATTGTGTTCGTTAATCTTGGTCAGAATTTCTAACACCTTGTGTGTTTTCCCGCTAGTTCTCGTTATTGGTATGCACTTACATTGAATGCACCATGCGAATGCTGACAACGTGTAAAATGTCATTTATTTTGCTATTCTGCTTATATACTTTGTTCCATTGGCTTGAAACCTGTCCTGCAGTACTGAGTTTCTGCCGGTTTATGTCCGTCTTTGCAACCACTTGGTTCCGGCATCCGGTTTGAACCGGTGAAAACCGGCTGACAGAAGCTGCTTCAGCCTGCTGTTCGCCGGAGTATTGCACACACGCACAATATATTAATTATATATGTATCGCGACACAGACCAATAGGCGCGTGTTTGTTGCATTGGTTATGTAATTGCGCCGAGCACGGCCGGCTTGTCGCGAGGCGAGGACACGCTGGCGCCGCGACACGCCACACCTGCGGCCGGCAACGCGTCGCGACCTGCAGTGGCCCGCGGACATGTGCGGGAGGACGGCGGCGGCGGCGACGCCCGACCGGCGGGCCCACCTCTGCCGGCGGACAGAGCCGACGTGGAGCCAATCAATAGCGCGGCCCGCCCGGCGCCGCAATCAGGTTTAAGTGGGGACGTTGTGGGACGTTGTTCTGTTGTCTGGCGCGATTCATCAGCGCGGCCTGCAGGCGCGGCGCGCCCGGCTCGCCGCGTGCGCGGCGTCGTGTGGGCCGCGTCGGCCGGCTGCTCCACGGCGTCGTGTGGGCCGCGCCGGCCGGCTGCTCCGCGGCGCCGCGCCGGCTGAGTTACGTAACGCGTGCGTGAGCTGTCCTCGCGTCACCGGCTCGTGAATTGGTGGAGGGGCTGCCTGCCGTGCCCCACTGTGCCCGCCCACGCGGCAGTTGGCAGCCGGACGGACCCGGGTGCTGCCATCTGACGGTTGTTTTGCGCGAGTGGTTGGATTTGCGGAGCCTGGATCCCCACCCGAGCTCCGTATCGGCTCTGGTATGCGGTTTGTCATCGGTGCCCTGCAGCACCAGATGGATCATCAATTAAGAGCAGCAATGTTTTGATGTGCGGAACGTTGCGGATTCCCAGATAAATGTTGTCGTGCATCGATAAATGCATTCCAATTTCTTCCACGGCAATGTGTGGAATTGCCCGGAAAATTGGAGCCATGAATCATCTCGACGAACGCGGCCAGCGCCGCTAAAAGCAATTGGACTTCTCCAAATTTGTGTGGATTATTTCTAGACTTCACGACGCTCGAAGCATTATACAGCAGAGACATGGCAGCCATCATCAACCAACAAACCAATCTGATGAAATACATCTGTACAGCATGTGACAGGCAGCGTAGCCCACACCTCCTTTCCCGTAATGCAAATCTGCTGTAACAGTAGTCTTTAATCTTGGTGTAGCGGAAAAATTAAAAACCCTCGGTCGCACAAAAGTGTGCCTATATATATATATATATATATATATATATATATATATATATATATATATATATATATATATATATACATATATATACTCAACTAGAAAGCAGATAATTAAGAAGATAATTCACTCTCACTGCTGGGCGCAAAATGACCACAGTTGTCGACGCGCCCTAAAAATCCAATCAACAACAACACCCTAACTGCAAACCCTAAAAAAAAACAGTAAGACAGGGAGCCTCCCTTCAGTAAAGAGCCAGGTTACTTAATTGCAGTGTCAGGTCGTCCCATGCGTGGGCAGAGGGCTTACGACTTACTTGAACGAAAGTGTCATAGCAGCCCCCAAAACACCGAGAAGGCAACGCCCAGTCCACGTCTGCTGTTCCTGTGTGTTTGTATGCAGGTGGCAATCTTAAGCTCAGCAAACACGAGTTCTGATGTGTTATTTAAGCTGCAGTGCCGCGTAGGCGAACGCCAGCTGCAATGCGGCCATTTCGATTCAAAGCCTTCTCCCTGTAATGGTCGCACAGCGTTTTACTCGGACGCTCAGTCTCACACAAGTCGGCCGCAACGTAGCTGAACGCCATCAACAATATGGTCATGCAGCGCGTTGTTTCAAACTACCAGTCGGGGAGCTTACGACG